TCTCGACTCGACTTTTCCGGCGCGTCCATTTCTAAGAAATCAACATCTCTAGTCTGAACAATTGACTTTGTTGCAGGATTCCATACTCTGTATCCAACTGGACAATATCCGAGAAACATTCCCTTCCACGCTTTCGCGTCCAGTTTCTTACGATGTTCCTTCGGGACATGTACATAAGCGACGCATCCAAAAACTCTCAATTTGGACACGTCCGGTTTTCGTCCTTCCCAAAGTTCAGCAGGAGTCTTATTGCAGTCGTTGGTTCTCGTCGGACATCGGTTCATGATGTACGCAGCAGTCTCAATCGTTTCCACCCAAAACATCTTGTCAATCTTGCCGTCCTCCAACATTGCTCTTGCACGCTCAACGAGAGTGCGGTTCATCCTCTTGCTGGTACCATTCTGCTCGGGAGCATATGGTACAGTGAACACAATTTGTATCCCCTTCTGACGACAAAATTCCATAAAAACTTTGTTTTTGTATTCTCCGCCATTATCACATTTGAATTTGGAAATATTCACAGAGAACTTAGCCGACACCAATGCTTCGTAATGCTTGAAGCACTGAAATACCTCTCGCTTTTCACGATGGTACACCATGACGAATTGACTCCAGTCATCCGTGAACGTCACAAAATACCGCTCTCCGTTTCGACCCACAGGTGTAATCGGCCCGCATACGTCTGAGTGTATGACCTCCAGAACTCGCGACGATCGTTTACCCTCAAACACGGAGAAGGGTTGACGCGTTTGTTTACCAACAATGCATGGCTCACACACAACAACAGTTTTGTCCAAAACTTTACAATTTGTGGCAGGCAATCCGTTCACCATATCCTTACTGATTAGTTGTTGGAGCTGACGATTGTTTATGTGTCCAAATCTACGGTGCCATAAATCGAGCCCCTTCGCAATTTGACCGCAAGCCATCAACGAGTGGCATTCTTCTTCCGTGTAAAAATCCAATTCGTATAACTTGCCACGACGCGAACCGGTTGCTACAAGTTCGGAATTGTTCCAAATGTTTACCTTCCCCTCATTGAACAATACTTTCATTCCTTTGCGTTCAACCTTCAATACAGAGAATAAATTTAAACGCAACGATGGCACATAAAGTACGTTACTAATATCACAAGGAATGCACACACCATTTACAATGGAAAACAATCTTACTGTCCCACTGTACCGAGCCTCAATTGATTCTCCGTTCTTGGCCACCGCAATTTTCACTGGATTCTTCATGGGTTTTAGGCTCTTCGAAGAGATGTTTGTCTTTTACTAGGCGGTCTGAACATCCTGAGTCCACATACCATTGCACTCGCCTTTGCTCCGAAAAACTGCTCCCGTCTGTCAAGGTAATAAATGAAACTACTTCCTCGTTTGCCAAATTCGCCTTCGATTTTGGTTTCTCCTGCTTGGTACTCCTGGTCTGCTGCATATTCCTTGGACAATCCGACATCTTGTGTCCTACTTCCTGGCATCCGTAGCACCTGAGCGGCTTTCTCTTTTTCGGTGATTTCTTCGATCCTGTAAAAGCTGCTCCAGTTGATTTCAAGATCTCCGACTCATCACCGTTTCCTTTGTGTTTAATCTCCTCGTTGAGCAAACGACACTTGACAAATTCCAAATTCAGTTTTTCCTCAGGCATCGTCTCAAGAGCCGTGACAATTGTCGAATATGCCGACCCCAGGGTGATCAGAAGATGACAAACTACATCCAAATCCTCCATCACTGCACCTGTTCCACGATACTCTCGCACTAGACGATCAAATTTGAGAAAATGCTCCTGAAGGCTGCCGGACTCGAATCTCAGGGACAATATTTGCCTATGCAAATACATTCGGCTGGCAATACTCTTGCGTTCGAAAACACGGGTCAAAGCATCCCAAATCGCTTTTGGCGTAGCCTTGTCCTGCACGTATTCCAAATGGGAATCGTGTATCCTAGACACCAACAAGGATTTGCACTTTTTATCCTGTTTCTGTCGCTTCTCGAGTGCCACCTCCTTCTGTTTTCGGACGTCCGCCGAATCGCCTTCCTGTGCCCACAGAACCGCAACATCCACCGTTTCCGTCTCGATGCACGCTAGAAGATCCCGCACCTCCAGCAGCACTCGCATCCGAAACTTCCAGGCGTTGAAGTTCGACCCGTCGAACAATGGCAACAAGAACCGTTTGTTTTTCTCCTCGATCATATTCATAACACTTTTATGCACGCCACGCGATTACTGGACCTAAAGTGTTGTGTGGTAATATCGAGGATCAACCAACAAAATAAACGGACGATATTAAAAAGTACAAAAATGTCTTTTTATATTTCAAAAACTAAACTTGTTTTCAACTCAGTATCATAGATACACGTTGCCATGGACTACAGTGTTTGCACACTTCAACAGATTTTACTATAAACGCCTGTTGTCAAGATAGGATAGGCAACCAACTGTTCATCGCGGGGCAGACGTACGTTCTGCAGCTTGCTTTAGCCATGTTTATTCTAAATTTTAGTAGCAAAAAAAGATAACATATAGCTGTTAACTGTTTTAATCGATTTTATTGGTACCTGAACACATTTTCAGCAATTTGGCAAATTTTTAATGCATCGCTTGATACGTGCAACAATCCTCCACGATTTTTTCTAGTTAAAAGCTTTGAATGACTCTCTGATGCGAATATCGCATCTGCACATATGGAACATTTAACAGACTTAGCTATTTTTCTTGTAACAAAACCTGAAATATACTTAGTACCAGTAAGTACTTAGTTACGTCTATACCTAATAGTGAAATAGGTACTGTCGTTGTCTTGCTGGTAAAAGATGTCGAATAATAGTTCTACGTTATTTTAAGTGAATGGGAAAGCCGAAACCGCTCGGTATTGCATTATTGTTTAACACCTTCGTCGGTACCTTTCTAAAATCGGCTTCATTCCCCGCAAATGCAGTATGGTGGGAGTACATTTTTCTCTTCGAATGGCTCTGATCCATTGGCCCTTTAAACTTTTATCCGTTGAAAATCAGCATATTATTTAAAAATTTATCGACAGAGTACATGTTGATAGGCACAAGTTAACCTAAGTTTATTGGTTTATTCTCAACAGAAATTTTTCTGTTCACTAATTCGAGCTAATCACGAGAATGATTAATGAACGAAACATCTAAAATAACAGCTTATTTCATTATATTGCATATCATCTCAGCGATTTTTGCCCCATTGTGCATTGTGTGTTGCATACTGTGTCGACAACACCTTAGATACGTTAAGCGCAGTCTAGTTATAGCAAGTCTCTGGCGAAGACAGATGCAAAAAATGACATTTTGTACTTTGAACCTTGATTAAGGTCGTCATATCCTAAAATAAAAGGCGGGACCCTAATTTTAGGGTATTTACTGTGTAATCCACCCATACAACAAGTACCAACAAACAAATATCAAATATCTTCAAAACCTTCTTTAGCAACTTAGTATGATTGAACAGCACAGATTTGCATGAAAATGTGGATTTAGATTTTACTTACCCTTTACAACCATACAAACATTATATGTATTACTGAACTCAGAATAAAATTTTAAAATTCTTTTATTTAAAATAACTATAGGTAAAAGTTTGTATCCAACCACTGGTTGAAACAAATTTTTCTAGTACTCATTAAAATTTTCTTGTAAAATAGAAATTGTTTGCTAATTTAACCAGGCTCGTAGCTCTTATAGTTGTCGAGATAGCAATAGTGGACAAAATAAAATGAACACCCTGTGTATATATTGTGCGATCAAAAATGAGTTGCTGTCAAGTTACCTATGGAACTTTTGTTTACATGGGAAAACGTCTTAGACCATATAGTACATGGACTGCTAATTGTAACAAAAATATGGTCAAGGACATCGCCTGGGTATGTGAGTTTTAGGGTAAACGAGTCTGTCCGAAGTTGTCCGATTAGACACGATTTGAGACTGTCAACCTATAAATTAACAAATGTCAATTAATTAATAGCCTAGATATGGCAAAAAAAGTAAACCTGTTCTTATTTGTGGGCGTATAGAAGATAATCAAGAGTAATTAAAGCTTCCTGTGCTATGCGGTTACCATAAAAGCTACTCTTTACGCAATCCGAGTGGTGTTCATACGACTTTAGTTTACCCTGAGATTCACATACCCACGACTACAGTGCCCTCTATCCGTGACCACCCATTTTGTATTGAAAGCATAGGGCTAATAGCAGTCCATGTACTATATGGTCTAAGGAAAACGTATTTAACTTGAACTTCCAAAGGCGACTCGACAGCAACTCCTTTTTGATCGCCCGTTATAAGTGCATAAACAAAGCGCCAACAAATAGGGCTTTTAACAAAAATAAAGGATTTTTTATAAGCTCTTTAAAAAGGTTCTACGAGTTGTCTTTGTGTATTTTACTTTAAAACTTTTGGCGTTGGACTAATAAGAACCAATCTGCAACCAGCTATTATTACTCAGTTTGTATTAGGTTTACACACATCCACCATTCTTTTGGTTTTTTTATAAGCTACATTTATGGCGCCCCTTAAAAAAAAAGAATTGCAAGAATATGCACATAGGGGGTTGAAACAGTAATTTTTTTGTAAATAAATAACGATAAATTGGAAGAAACGAATTCATCATTTCCTTCTGGGGGTTCTTTAATTTTTAATTATGTGCTTCAAATTGTATAGGTATGCACACGTGGCATAAGTATGAGAACTTCATCTCAAAAGTTACATTGTAATTTATGTTCACTTCTTTAAATTACTTCTGCTGATTTCTGTGCAATACAAGACCGTTTGGAAAATTACATTGGGAAATTATAAATATTGTACTATCTGATAAAGGAAAACAGGCTCTTTTACAATCTTAAATATTTAAATTGCAAATGTAATTATTATAAGTATTGTTTGTTTTCTTAATCTCATTCACAGATACACAACACAATTTTCTGTTTTCTTCCATTACACATACGAGGTACTAACGTATATTAATAAAGTTTTCATTTACAGACTAGTTCACAAAGTACAAGATTCAATGTGAACATCCCACATCGTTTTGTAGTGCACAACTATAAACGGTTTACATTCTGTGACCACTGCGGTTCCCTTTTGTATGGGTTAATTAAACAAGGGCTTCAGTGTGAGGTATGCTCTCTAAACGTGCACAAGCGCTGCCAGAAGAATGTTGCTAACAATTGCGGAATTAACACCAAGCAGATGGCAGATATTCTGTCAGCGATAGGTACGTGGAGTGATAAATCGAACTTGTAACATTGGCGCATGTTTTTGCAGGTGTTTCGCCCGATAAACAAACTCCGCGGCGTAGTAAATATGTGTCGGGACCTGGTAGCAATAATGGACCGTCGGATGGGAGCACCGATGCTAGTGGCGGAGGCGATGATTTAGAGAGCGCCGAGGAGAAATTAACAAAGCTAATGGAAGAGAAGATGCAAAACGATTTATCCAGCGACTCGGGTATTTATCATAATTGATGGGATGTGTTTGTAATGTTCTGTAATTTAGGCACCGAATCTGATCGTTCAGGCGGTATGAAGATTGGTTTAGATGATTTTCATTTCGTTAAGGTGTTGGGAAAAGGCAGTTTTGGCAAAGTAATGTTGGCAGAAAAGAAGGACACTGAAGAGGTGTACGCTATTAAAGTTTTGAAAAAGGACGTTATTATTCAAGATGATGACGTCGATTGCACAATGACTGAAAAGCGAATATTAGCTTTAGCGGCAAAGCATCCGTTCCTTACTGCATTGCATTCCTGTTTTCAAACCAAGGAGAGATTATTTTTTGTAATGGAATACGTGAATGGTGGTGATTTGATGTTTCAAATTCAACGAGCACGCAAATTCGACGAACCGAGAGCTAGGTTTTACGCGGCTGAAGTCACTTTAGCTTTGCAGTTCCTACATAGACACGGTGTCGTATATCGCGATTTGAAATTGGATAACATTCTGTTAGACGCAGAAGGGCACTGTAAGCTGGCGGATTTTGGAATGTGCAAAGAAGGTATTTTGGACGGTATTACGACCACTACATTTTGTGGTACGCCCGATTATATAGCGCCCGAAATCTTGCAAGAACTGGAGTATGGAGCGAGCGTGGATTGGTGGGCGTTAGGAGTGCTGATGTATGAAATGATGGCCGGCCAGCCACCTTTCGAGGCAGATAATGAAGACGACTTGTTCGAATCCATCTTGCACGACGACGTATTGTATCCAGTTTGGCTTAGCAAAGATGCCGTTAGTATTCTTAAAGGATTTATGACGAAAAATCCTAGTAAAAGACTCGGTTGTGTGCCTGCTCATGGCCTAGAAGCTGCGATCCGTTCACATTCTTTTTTTAGAGATATAGACTGGGTTGCTTTAGAGCAGCGACGTGTACGTCCACCTTTTAAACCTAAAATTGTAAGTATTACTTCTTTTTATTTATTAATCACTGCAAAGATACAGTAGATAGACAACGTCTGTATAAATTCTGAACGCTCATTTTTGTCTACAGAATAAAAATTAATGTTTTTACTACAACAGTTTTGATTATTCACTGCATTTACACGCGCGATATTAGAATAATGTGTGTTTGTCAATCAGGACCTTGCCTAGGCGTATCATATTCTCTGTCTCTTTCTTTTCTCTAATTTAAATTAATAAATAATTTCTCAGAACAGTTACAGAAACATCTTTAAACTGTCATATTTTTTATATAGAAGGGTACTTTTAGTTTCAGGCTGACAGTCAGTCTAACTGTGACCATTTACACGATAATTCGGGAATTTTAGAATTCTGTTATCATGAATCTAAAATATTGATAGGTCTATAACAGTTCAATACAAGGCTTCACTAAAAAAATATTTCTCTTATGGCAATAGTAACGCAGACGTTTAAAATATCGATTGCAATATTACCAAAAGCATGTTGATTATTAATAAAGTGTTTGGTAGATTTACAACTGCTAAAGTGAAAATGATACACAATCAAAGGGGTTAGCAAATCTAGCAACTTAAAATAATAATATTCGAAATGACGACTCGCTGGTTTTTTTCTGGAATCATTAGAAATTTTGCAGTTTCGGCTATCCAGAGCTATAATTTGTTTAGGGAGGGTGCCATTTGAAATTTAAAAATATCACATTGACAAAGGTCAATCAAAAAGTTTATCTTTTCGGTAAAAGACCTAACAAAATTATGTGAAAGTGCAAGAGGTCCTGTATTGTTATGAAGGTAAGGCTTTAAACACCCAATCCTGTAAGGAATTTTGTGTTATCCTTACTAGTTTTAGAATAGTTTTAGCCCATTGACGAAGCTAATTACTGCTTTGAGGTTTAGTTCCCCTATCTCGTTCGGTTTCAGCTTGTCCCCGCCGAAGTCTTTTACCTTTGCCCAGAAACAGCCTCGCATCCAGATACAATGTGGTCACTCGTCTGTCTCATGTGCCTGTCCGCAGTCTGTATGTGGTGTCCGCCGCTGGGGTCTTATGTAGATGATATTTAAGCAGGGTATGGTCTGTAAACAGACGTGGCTTTGATAATTTGGCCTGTTGGCCTGGTACCCTCTGCCAGTAATGGATCCTATTCATCTCCTCCCATTGGTTTAGCGCCTTTTTATGAGGCTCTTGTGTATTTCACAAAATAGCTTCCGTCTGGCTCCTTGTTTGGCCAGGTCATCTGTCTCTATTTTTCCCTTGCCTTACCCATTTTTCGGTTTATGAAGGCACAGATGTTTATGGCAAAGAGCTTGAAAGACGGTGGCTTCTTGCCCCAATGGTTCTGAAATTTGGCACTTTGGACCGCTGACCCCTATCTCTGTTTTTAGCGCATTTTTGCAAATTTATTTGTAAAAAGTAGCTTTTAATTTCACTTTGGCTGGCTGGCTGGCTGGTCGGCTGGCTGGCAGCAAATGTGGGCGCGTAGAAGAACTCTTATAGAAAGGCAACGGGTGTACGTGTATCTACAATGCCGTGAAATTTGTAAACCTTGGGGACAGGGCTACATGATGTGGGGTTGGCGACATCTGGGCGTCGTCCTCGAGCATAGTATACTAACGTGAAGGTTTTTCAGTTTTTTCCTATCTTTTACTACAGTTTTGGTCCGATTCTTTTCAAATTGGTGTTGTCGGAAAGATGTTGTAAACGCGCACAACTCCTGCGTGGCGGAATTTTGTTTTTTGGCCTAGGGGCGAAATTAACGACCTTTTGCATGGCGCGCGCGCGTGTCTTCGAGAGGTAGTCAAGTTCGGGCACCTTTTACCTTCCGTTGCGAATTCTGTCACGCGTTTTAACGTTTCGTGAATCTCGAATGGCTGTCTCTCTTTCTCGTATCGCCAATAGAAGCTCGAGCAATGAGAAGTGCCCCCCAAAAATTAAGTACTATCTTGTGGAAGGTTTTTAGTGAGATCCACCAAAATGTGGGTGTAATATAAGTATGCACGGAAAAAGGAAATGTGGTAGCCTCCGGCAAGATCTAACTGATGGTGGAATCAAATCTTCAAACGCGAATTGCGGGTGAACGGGACGTCGGAAGTGGGTACCGTCAAAGGGAATGTGGTATCCTTCGACAAGATCTTTTATTCATGGTTGAGTCAAAAGTGGCTAATAGAATACTGATCTGCCACACAAAAATGCGCTGAAGTCCCTTCGATCTCACACGAGGACTTTGATAATTTTTTTGTTTTAAACGGTCTGTGTACCTACTACTGTGTAGATTTGGTCACCTCTTGTATACAATCCTCCTCAAGAATTGCTAGGTGTCCTACTAGGTTCCCCAGTTATGATCCTGGGGGATCTTAGATGTCACACCTTGTATACTTATTTCAGTTTTTTTCAGGGGCCATGTTCCACTTTCTACCTTTCAACTTTTTTTGGGTGCGGCACTAGTAGATTGTGAAACAAGAATTTAGTTTTCTAGTTTGTTTAGAAACTTTCTGGGCTCTTGTAATTTTTTCGTATCTGTCACTGTCTGGTATTTTCGGTAGTTAACTAAATGACTATAATTTTAAAATGCCTCGGTAGGCCCTGGATTTATCTAGATAACGTCTTGTTTTTATTAACTGTTAACAGTTGGCATTGAAAATTGTATCTTGCGTTTGCGTATGTTTATAAATTAAAAGTTTAAATTGTAAAGTATACGGTAGAATTATAACAGCCTGTAGATTGGTAACAAAGTGTTTGTGGACCTATGTTCATATGAACTTTTAGTCATAAAATAATCCAAACAATAAGTCCCTTCTGTATTTACAGGATATTTAGAAACACCCTGTATACAAGGGTTACTTAGAAACACTTACATGCATTGAATTTAATATAATTAGGAGTAGAAAATGTAAATCCATACAACATTCTATCTCTGATAATACTGCATAATGTTCGCTAACGTAACGAAAATTCTCAAATATGCCTACGCATATTTTTGTCTGTACCTTTGAATATAATTTAATCTAGCTAAATAAACAAGTAAAGGAATGTTGACTACGTCATGGAAGAGATAGCCCTATAGCCTCTTTACTGAAGTAGGTAAATAAGCAGTTAACAACTCTCCCATTTCCAGTGCTCATTTGGCGTAGTAATCACTATGTAGAATTTATCCTAACTGAATTTAAATGTTTCTTTTCCCATGCAACTTCCATTTAAAAGTTCAGTACACTACAAAGAACATTCATTAATTTCTAAATAACATTAACTATATATAAATAGGCAAACTTACACAAAATAACAAAATATACACAAAATGCGCATGGCCACGTAAACGTAGTTACTCTCTGTAAGCTCTCGTAATTTTAACATGTTAATATAACCTCCAAAATATGTCATTCCTCAATTCTCACTAGCATATTTAAATAGGAAAATACCACTAGACAGACTTGACAATCAATCGAATCAATCATTCCATGATGCCGGTCCGTGTGACGCAGTTCAGTTGAAGCTGGACTGTGGTGCTAAAGGTCCCTGGTTCAAATCCGGGTTCGGGCATGGATATTTATAAATGTATAGTGGGTTGGTAGAGAAGCCTTGGCTGAAACCCCGCCCACTGAAAAATAAAGGCAAATAAAAAAAATTTTTTGAGGATGTTATTTTGATTAAAAAGAATACTTTCAAAAAGACAACTTTACCTTGGCATGCAATTCAATTAAAATTACCACAACCACGTTGTTAAGATCTGCCTCTTAACCTATAGCCATCGGGTGCCCAGTTGTCGGACGAAAACACGTCGTGCCCGCGCATGAGGTCACTCTAGTTACATCTGGTGCGTAATCCCATAAAGATTCAATGGTGGGCCTCGTTTTCGACGTATAATCTGTATTGTGGTGCATATTATATTTATCGTACGTACAGGAATATGTGTAGTTGATAGTCCTGCATTGCAAACACTCGAGTTTTTGCTTCTATTAATAGCGAATACTTTTTATTTCCGCTTTTATTACACCATGAGGATACCGAATAAACATTTAAACGATAATGCCTGGTTGTGCGAGTGCAAAATGTAATAATTATTCACGAGAAACGAAGGGTTAAGTAAGATGTTAAATACTTCGGAAGTGAAGATACGTATGCGAAAAAATTTGTACACTAAACAAAATTCGGTCATCAGTTATCATACGAGGAGACACTGTAGCCAAGTCAAATAAGAACGTTCTTAGAATAGAAGAATAAGCTTTGTATAAAATTACATGCAAAAATTAAAGAAATAAGCTGAAAGCAATTTGTTTAATATAATTAATCGGATAAATACGATATAGGTGAACTAGGATATTTACAATACGCGGAAATACTTTTATTGCTTCGATTCTTAGATATACGTGAGTATATCAAATTATTAAATACATTTTGATTGATTACAATAATTTTCAAACTGTTTAAAAAATAGAGGTACATGATCTTCGTTTTCCATTCACGTACACGCGCTTGGCGCACCATTTGAACAATACCTCTACTTACATTTTATCTGCTTTGCATTTCATTGTAATGTTTTTGTGCGAGCTTGCATTTGTGTATGTAATATTATATACTCAAATAAACCTAAATTTCGCCGACAGATATACAAATAATAGTGTGTTTCCGTAACCTCTTCCCTATGCATTTGTATACGCGCGCCGGAGTTTCTTAAGTGATTGACGTCATACGGCGTGGGGAAAGGGGACACGATGCGCGTTGCGATACCGTTTTTATTATACCATGCCTATAGCCCATACTTCAGTAATAAAACTCCTTTTCAAGGCATCTCTTCAGAAGTTTAGAAATAGCCTTTCCATGGAAACTTCAAATTTTGCTTTTCTTCTCCTCTTGGCATATTATAATGGGCCATACTTATACAGAATATCTACTCGAGAGAAGGTTGGTTTGGAAGCCAGAAAGAGTAATGTTTGTGTTTTCTAATGTGATTCTGCACATAACAGGAGGAGTGTTTATTTCTTTGTAGACATCCTCGAAAATTCTTAAAAATTGACATGAGAACATTTGATTAATTTTAAGTAAGAAGCTATTTGTTCACAATAGCACATTGTAAAACAATCGCATTGAAAACCTTGCAACTTTTAACTTTTCCAAACATTAATTGATTATTCATTGTGCTATAGAAAAATAAACGAGATGCCCTCAATTTCGATGCTGAGTTCACCAAAGAAGATCCTGTCCTAACACCTGTAAATTCTGAAGTAGTACGTTCGATCAATCAAGAGGAATTTAAAGGCTTTTCTTTTATTAATCGTGATTATAATCCGGCTCGCTTCGGTATGGATTAGGGTTGAATTTTTTTATTAGTCTTAGTATATGAAACCATTGTAATTTGATAATTATTTTTGTACGTTTACTTTTCCTCAGTATTTAGCAATTGAAGTATTTGTTTTTTTATCGCTATCTCGTTTTAATGCAATTTAGTCAGTGTTAATAATTGAAAACGTGTTTTACTTTCCGGCGCATTTAACGTAGCTCCGTGTACAGTAGGTTTGTCTTTATACGACGTCTAGTGCAATCTTTCCAATTTTTAGCTTAATTGAAGATTTTGTATTATAGAAACTGTTGTTTATCTAAACCATTAGTTGTATTGGATGTTAATGTATTATATTTTTACGTAAACGTTATCGATTATTTTTATTGCTATATCAACATGTTTCATTATACAATGGTGCTAAACACAGGTTTCCCTAGCTTTGTTGTGTGTATGATAGACAGCTGACTCAAATGTTCTAGTCATTTTACAAAAAAAAAGGCCTACATGCTCTCTTACTAAGTAAGAGTTGTATACGTTTGAATATTAATGAGGGAAATTGTTTAAAAAACTTTTCCTTTAAGATTTACATCTAGTTAACAAATATTTGTGTTAGTAGGTAATGTTTACAATAGCCATATTAATTATAATATAATTTTATCAAAGAGATTGTTGAAAGCATTGTAGTTTATAAAGTGACATGTAAGATACTGCTCGATTTCGTATTGCATGTGATATCACTTCAAAGGCGCATTTTATATCTAAGAGCTTTAAAAATTGTTTAGTTATCCACCCTTGTTGTAAGTATTCTATTTCTGTTATCTTTACCAAAGACAAATGTATTTTCACTATAAATGTTGCGAATGAGATTATGATTCTCAGACAGCGTTTAGATCATTTTTCATAGTGAGCTAGTGTTTTATTTACAATACGGACTTGTTTCCCAATGAGTGTGTTACAAATAACTAAGCCTCTGTCTTTCACATACAATATCAATACACCATAATGATTCGATAATGAATGAAAGAATAGCATACTAGTTTCGAAATAAGTCTGTGTTCTGGTGATACCTCAATTGCTGTAAGAGAATACCTTGTGTCCGTTCAATTTGGCAACCTTCATCATTTAATTATTACGCTAAGCAGTATTTGATGCACTTCTTGTATAGTGTGACATTGCTATTAAAACCTGCTGTCTTGAAAAATGTAACGCAACAACTAACTGATCACACTTTACAAGTACAATTAGTGCAAGTGAAAATTGACGAGAACAATTCTTAAATTTGTCCAGGGGTAAATGACAAAAAATATATATTAGTAAATGTTGAAGTTGTACAAAATATGTATGTTGCAATGGGGTAAAAGTTGTGAATGTTGTCGGTTATGAAATGAATAGTGTTTAATTTACCGTAACAACATTTGGAACAAGTAATTTGTGTTCCAGCAGATGTGTATATACATTGTTAAAGAAGAAATTAAATATGTTTTAGATATTTATTAGTGTGAAGCTTAGAAGTAGAATAATAAATAAACTATAATCAGAGCTATTAGTAAGTACTTAGATCTCTCTTTAATCACCATAGTATTACACATTTTGTTAGCACCTTCATCTAATAGAATGGTAATAAATATCGCACCATTTCCATTTTTATTTTGTTAATACAGATTGTAGTAACGGTAAATGTATTTTTTTAAGCATCTACAATCTCGGTATATCAATCGCTGTACTTGTCTTTCATTATTTATTCAGTGTTAGTGGAGTACTATCATAAACCATTAGTTGTTGAACCATCCTATTGTTCTTTGGATAATAGGAGATGAAAATTATTGTTTAGATGATACATTCAAGGGCTTCGTTAGTCTGTGTTTCAACAAACAAGAGCACTGGCAAAAGCATCATTTAGTAGTTAATTCAAAAAGGTTGTAAATGCTTTCATACAGAGTTGTGCCAAACATCCCTAGCTCTCCGTATTTCTTGATCAGAATCTTGCATTGTTATTATTGTTTTAATGTGTTTATACTAGCAATGTATCGTGTGTCGTAAAATGGTGTACCTATTTCTCTGATGATGTACTAAAAAAATATATACATTATTTAATGTAATTTCTCTTCTTGATTTACTTGTGTAACCTTACTTCGGATGTCTATCTTACTGACAAAGTGTCATTTTAATGTGAATCAGAAGTAAATGTAGATTCTCAATATTCTTTCCCTCATTCATTTAATTAAAATAAATACTGATAATATGCTATAGAATATAGACAATATAGTACCCAACAACTAGCTGAGTCGATATTTTGTGAGAAACTAACCCAAAAGCAGTTCTGAAATTTTGTATTCCTTAGGACAGGTTGTTGCAGACACCGAGGTTTCCATGAGGCTACTTAAGGTTACAAACGATATACATATGGCACTAGATAAATCTGAGGCAACTATTATAGTACTTTTAGATCAAAGCAAAGTCTTTGACCAAGTAGTGTCAGAGTTGTGTACATCAATGTTACGCTACATAGGCTTTAACAATTTATCAATATCATGGATGCACAATTACCTCCAAGGACGACGTCAAGCTGTCTTGTTTGGGAATGTGCTGTCTAACTTTGGCAAGACATATAAAGGCGTTCCCCAAGGTAGTATTTTGGGACCCACATTATTTTCAATTTATACTAGAGATCTGCTGGCTTCTTTAAAGTACTGCAAGTCACATATGTATGCCGACGACATCCAATTATATGCATCATGCAACATAACTGATGTGATTCATGTCATAACAAAAATCAATTATGACCATGCCAATATAAATCTTTGGTGCAGTAGGAACGGATTATGTCTGAATCCAGACAAAACTGTTGCCCTCTGCATATCAAATAGAACGAGGACAAATGAAAGTAATTTAAACTGTCTGTATTTTAAAACTAAACGGTGGGGCAATTAAATGGGAACACCCATGAAACGCCTAGGGATCATCTTAGATGATTCTTTTCAGAAGCATGTTGATAGAGCATATGGGTTGGGCTTCTCTAAATTAAAAGCAGTTTGAAAAATTTACCAGTGGATACAAAACTGAAGTTGAAACAAGCTCTCATTTTTCCTATATTTGAATCGGAGCTGGGTCGAGCGTTCTAAAAAACCGCTCGAGTGACGAGCACTCTTATTTTCTCAAAAATGCTCGCAAGCATCGAGTGGTTTTGCAAAGCGAAACCGCTTGCGAGTTCCGAGCACTCCTAAAAGTGCTGGAGCGGTTTATCGCGAGCGCTCGGGAAAAGTGCTCGTGAGCGGAAAAAGCGCTAGGGAGCGGAAAAAAACACTCGCGACCAGCGGCGCTTGAGGGCGGTTAAAAGCGCTCACGAGCGAAAAAAAACGCTCAGGAGCGGAAACTCCGCGATTTGAATATTGTAGTGTGGTGTATTAGGATTCTCTAATGCAACAATATAAGTACAAATTACAACGCTTGAAAAATGCGTAATGCGTGTTTTAGATTCGCTTTAGGTATACCTTTTATATAGAGACCATGTAAGCCCTTATCTTGAAAGAATCCATTTATTAAGGCATGCAGTGAACTTACGAACTGAGAGTCTCACAACCTCAGATTAGTTAATCTGAGCTCACAACACCCAAATATCCGAATCGGAACTAGATTCTGATTAAGTATTTGCGTTAATGTTAAATAATTATATAGTATAAAATTTGCATCTAAAAAAATAAACAGTTGACTGGGATATTTAATATCCAGAAGGTTTTTAATATACACAAGTAGGGAGATACGCGACTTTCTGCCTTATAAACCGCGTGTATGCATATGCGCAAGCGATAATCGTCCTTACTCAGTCATAGGCGCGCGTTTATAAATAAATCGATACAAAACTTTTCGGTAATGTGAAGTAAATTACAAATAGTGGTTCAGAATGTCCAGAATACGCTCTACAACGTTATTAATGGATATTTTTTGATCAGGATGCAAATAAATTAGATACGACGAGTTGAAGCGCTAATTTGTCCAAATATTACGGTCGAATTCGTTAGACGCCGGCGAAAGTTAAGATTCCTCATTTAATCCCGTACTTTTCGGTCGTAAAAAACACTAAATAATAAACAAAGATTTTGCCAAAATCAATTATCTGTAATAATACGAAAGTTATGGGGCATTAATAAATCAACTAAATTCAATGAACACCACCTTGCGGCCAACCGATCAGAGATAGTTGAATTATGTTTGCGCCAGTCTTAAAATAAAGGGCATTTTCATAAGAAAGTGTCCAATTTGGACCACTGTACAGTAACTTCACTATCCAGGCAGGTTAGAATTAATATGATTGGACATTTTAGTATCATGGAAATAATGTGGCAAAATGTTTTGTAATGTCCTCAAACATTCAAACTAAGCGACTGTTAATTTTTACCCCACAACCGCGTAAAAGAAGGCGATCAGTACATCCTATAGACCGATTTCAAAGAGAGGTGTTTTATACGCTATTTGGCGAGTTGAAGGAAGACAATGGTAAGTTTTGGAACTATTTTCGTATGTCTGTAACGTCCTTCCACGAACTTGCAAGCAACGTAAGAACAGGGATAATAAATAATACCATCAGCGAACTGTAACTTAACGCTTATACTATGCTTAAAACGTTACTGATGTAGCAGCTTCACCATGTGGATTTAGTACAGTTTAGCTACAGTAGTATCATTGAATAATACCCCCCTATTAGTCATTGGTAGTATCTATTATATGGACTGTGACATATACGTACACTATAATGGTCGTATGCACCCCAGAACAAACAAACCTATGGTATGCACCGACAAATTTAAGCGGAGCTTAGTTTATGCGTTACTTAAAATCTATGGCAACCATTGTCGCATTAATAGTTGCCATGGATTATAAGCTAAGCCCCCTTAAATTTGTAGGTGCATACGGCCATTAAAGAAGGAATCTTTCATTAAGTACATATATGTATGCGAATGCACGAATATCACGGCGGCGGCAGTTCTCGGTGGAGCCACGTGAGTGGAAGTTTCGGTTTACTTAAACAATGGTTTAGCGTAGTTGTTTTAAAATGTAGTAACAAAATTAGTATGAACTACAACGCGTTTATACGAGCCCCAACACATAAATGTTGGGACACTCACGATTTTAAAAATATTGGAACTTAAAATTATTGTATGTTTTCTTTATTAATTTTGTCTTATTATAGTTATAAATTAAGATAAGTAACTCCAATTTTATATTTTGATGCAAAATTAATTAATTACAAACTTTGAAATGACACAAAACAACGTAAAATTAAAATTGAATGTGACACAAAAATGTTCGGACATCACCCCTTAATAATGAGTTACATCCCCTTTGGCTTTAATAACAGCCTGGATTCGTGTAGACATGGTCGCCATAAGAGCTTTACATTAATCGATGCCAAAGGTATCACTAATCTCTTGTAATTTTTCCTCAATGAAGCAATATTGCGTTGCGGGTGATTACGCAAACAAGTTGCTTCATTTTATGCCACACTGTCTCAATGACATTGAGATTTGGACTGCTTCAGGGCCAATCTAAAGCATTAATATTGTGGTCTTGTACTCTTGTAACCATTTCTTAGTCGTTTTTGCCGTGTGAAATGATGCTCCGTCTTGTTGAAAAACAAAGTCTGCATCAGGTGATAATGTCCCAAGTGAAGGCAATAAACTTTGTTCTAAAATTGCTTGATATTTCTGAACATTAACATTGCCATTTATAAAGTGCAATTGTCCCAACTCATTTGCAGACATACTGCCCCACACCATTACACCATTGGGGAATTTTATAGAACGCTTTAAGGTTTACGCAAACCGACGCGGACATGCGCACGCGGGAGCGGTACCGCATGCTGGAAATATTTCTACAGCGGGATATGCGAGCACGCACACCGATGCGGCGGTTCGCACGCATATACTGCTGTAGAAATATTTCCCGCATCCGTACCGCTCCCGCGTCCGCATCGGTTTGCGTGGACCTTTAAGCAATCTTTATGAAATGCATCGTTTTCCGTTCTGATAACTATTTTTCGATTATTGCCCACACTGATATCAAATCGAAAAAAAAATGATTTTTTTCAAGTCTTGGTAAGACCACGCCTCGACGCCTGCCGTTCCCGAGCCCAAGCCAACCTCTTCTTTTTTGTTTTTCTGTTAAAAGAAGCTTTTCTTTCGCCTATTTAAAAAAGTATTTTCTAATGGTCAATAATTTTAACCTAAAGATCAGCTTACTTTATAAAAATGCAAACCTGATTTGTGGATCCACCATCTACGGGGTTCGCGAGAAAGATGAGCAATTGTTACTTCGTTCCATTTTACCGTAAGATTCCGTACTGTGTCTCTTTGTCCAGATTTGCCAATGGTTACCAGCGCTCTGCATTCTAGGGGTAACTTTTGTCCGTCTTCCTGTGCTCTTTCCTGCAACTTCGATTGATGCTGTTTTCCCATACTTTTTTACAATATCTGCCACCGTGGACTTGGGCAAATTGAATTCCTGACCTATTGTCCTAAACGATTTTCTCATATGAAACCATTTTACTATTAATTGTCGAATTACTTTCTGTGTCGCTTTGCCATGTACCATTTGTTCTTTTAACAAAATGGCAAAGTGGACTGACAGGTTATAATAGTAGATAATGTATTAAGGGATAAAACAAGAGTATAATTCCCCGAGGGAACAGTAATACTCCGAGCGACGTAGTCGCGAGGGTATTGCGTTCCCCTAGGGGAATTATACTCCGTTTTATCCCGTGGTACATTCTACGTTTTATTTTTTATTGATAATAGTAGAATTACTGTTGAAAAGTAAATTAATTTGCAAATAAAAATTTCACATCTGATTCGCGTTGTTGTATATGGGGTTGGCTGCGACTACAGTGACTTTATAAGGACAGTGGCGACAACTTATCATAATCCGCCATATTGGAGCTAAAAAATTGATTGTAAGATCAATATACCTTGTCATGTCAAATTGTGAGCGTAGAATAATAAATGTCAGTTTCATTTAAGTAAAGATTCTTGTTCAAAACGAACGGCGCAGAAATGATCGTTTAAAGCTTTGCAGAACAACCTATGGGAAAACAAATGCCTCCCAAATTCAAAAAGGTATGGGTATATGGAAAACGGTATAATAAGTATGAAATATGGTGCAATATCCAAAATGTACATATAAATAATCATTAAATTGTGTTTGACATTTCAGTGTCTTCTGTCACTTCTTGTCCCCTGTCGCGTGTTGCTCCTTCCGGACTTAAAAGTATTTCTTTAGTCTCTTAAATGGAAGACAAAACACGTTGATCTAGTCCACGGAGTACAAGAGATCAATATTCCATGTGCTCCAGCAAACATGAAACCAATTCAAACGTATTTACGATCACAATTGAATTTGCTGCTAAATTTCGGATAAGCTGCTTCTCTAACCAGTTTTCTATCTAAACTCATTAGGTATTTAGGGCTTCTGAAAAAAATTTTACATCAATTACCAGTCGTAAGGTTAGGCACAGTTTTACATCTAAAAACACTAAGCGGATTACATACCTTATAATATCGTAATAAATCCAAACTATATGCGTCTTTAAAAATCGAGTTTATATAAAACTGGAGACGGAAAACGTAAAATAAAGCAAATACAAGAAGCAAAGTGTAAACTAGTAACATGAAGCCGTGACAATTACAGGTGACACTGTCAAAACAGTATAATTAATAATTATAGCACGGAGTGCACCGCGTCGTTTTGAAGGTTTTCTATTGGCCAGTTTGGAATTTAGCTCCAATATGGCGACCGGAACCAACGACCAATCAAAAACGAGATACCCTGTTGTCGCCACTGTCTCTATAAAGTCACTGTAGCTGCGACTGCCATGGTTACCTATAGTTACGTATATAAACAACAAAAAATGCTGCGTCCGTCATTTTGAAAGCAATTTTTGTGTCGTTTGGCTTTGTTCAAGAACGGAAAATGTTGGAAGGGAATGAAGATGATGATGTTCCCATGGGGGGAATAAAAGAAGCTGAAGACGCTCTTAAGGAGTTAGTGCCGGTGACTTCAAAAACATTATATGAAAAGAATACTCCAAGTTTTGTAAATTGCGATCGGAAAAATCCTTGAAGATTGTGAACGAAAAAATTCTTTTGGCGTATTTTAGTGAACGATCTAAGCAGGGAAAACCGTCTTGTTTGTGGACCTACTACTCCATGCTTAGATCCATGCTGCGTGTGCGAGAGAACCTAGATTTTCAAGGTATTATTTATACACATTATTAGTCGAATTTGGACAATACTAAGACGTTTTTTTGGATTACAGTTATGGGCAATTGAAAACGTTTTTAAAAATAAGAATCAGGAATTTTATCCCAAGAAGTCTAAGATTCGCCATTCACTGTCTGAGGGAAATCTGAAAAGTACCAAGGTGTATTTCAAAATATTGTTTTACACACAATTGCTACGACAATGGATCTGTATCACAACCTACCAAATGAATGAAGTTAAGTATCGTAAAAGAAGACCATTTTAAGAAATATAACATGGTTACCACCTATGAAATGTCATTCTCGTTCCTTCTGTAGGTTTTGACTTATATTACACGATTGACAGCTAACCCCTGTGTTTGACTTTACCGTAAATGTCAATTAATTGTCAAAGTAGTCATTGTTCTGACAGGGAATTAGATTTTATAATTCCCGTTGTTATGACAGCGGGAATTATGGGTCTGTTTATGTGGCTATAGACTATTATAGTATTTTAACCACCATGTAAATTATCAATAAAAAATAAAAATTATAATTTTTGGTTTTTATCCTGCTACCTAGATCACAAACTATCAAATATGTGTGGTGTCCGAACATTTATGTGTCAGTTAATTTCGCTGATTTTCCTATTTTTATATTATGAGAGCGTTAAAAAAATAGTTTTTTTGCTATTAGACTTAAATAATAAATTTATAATACATATTTCTGTATGAGATATTTGTGGCTTTCCTGACATTGACTCGGATTAATTTTTTTTTCGGTTCTATTTTAAAAATGCTAGATGTCCGAACATTTATGTGTTAGGGCTCGTAGTACTCTTTACTCTTACCTGGCGCCAACACTACTCTACTATAAATGCTATACTCCAACTCATAGACAGACACAGACAATAAATAATTTGTGTTCGTACAGAGGTGGGTTGTTTGCGAACGACCCGTTTCATAGATCCGGATCCTTTATGATAACCAAACCATGGAGGTAAAATGTACCTCCATGAACCAAACGAATCGGATCTCGAAAACTAGCCCACCTGAATCTTTGAATCAACTACTTTATGACTTGAAACTGCGCGTTTCGATTCGATTGACTCGGCTTTGTGCCATTTACTTTCCAGTTCACGGCTCAATCTCAATTATCAAAACGACAAACGGTGTCACTTTTAGCTTTTACGATTTTTGACTCAGGATTCGATTTATTTATTCAGTTTTATTTCATTCAAAATAAAATGAACGACTAGAGAACGGAATACCTACATAAGACAAAACCCAGCTTCCAATTCGCATTTTGGAACGGAACGGGTCAGTCGATCCAGATTATTCAAATCATGCGAAAAAATAAATCCCCCCTGCGAGCTCAATTTTGTTTTTTGTAGGTACTTTTATTTAAAATAAAATCCTTAGGAACTTATTATGTATTTAGGAGCAGAATTCTTCTTTGATAATCTAAGACATTTTTTTTTACAAATCTTACAAGGATTTTTACTAGCAACCAGTTTAAACGTTTACTCTCGATCCTTATTTTTCTACATGGATTTTTCTTGGGGGTAAATACCTACACGAGATCTTGATTTTTAATCACATAATTTTATTTTTACACGAAAGTTTTGCTGAAACGGAAAAAACTCGAGATCAAAAGCATGATAAAATTGTATCTTATGCTTTTGGTCGAGAGTGTTTTCCAGGAGGCAACAAAACTTGAGTGAATTAAAAATAAAATTATCCTGATTTAAAAACAAGATCGAGTGTATATTTTAGGGAGATTAATACAAGACAAGACTCCACGCATTTTTATCGCTGATAAAGGTTACCTAGCTTTTAATCACTTAACAAATCGCCTGGGTTGGTTACTATTTGAAATAATCACTTCGCTCATTGGTCTTATCATTGATTATACAGATACTGTGGATAATTATAATCTGTGGTAAAAATATGGAGAAATGAGAAATAATTGGTGTAATAAAATTGTTTTGTGATAAATGGCAATGCACTGGCACACTTTTAGGTTAAGTCAAGTGTTGTCAAAATAATTTTTCGTTCACAAAAAGATATCGTGTTTAGCATTTGTAAGAAAAATTTTATTTGCTGAATTTCTGGTTTACAGTAGTATATATATGCAGTTTGTATTTTATTGATAACTTTCATTTCAATTACGAACAGATTATAACCCATCTTAAGTAGGATGTTATGCATTTAAATTCCAACATTGTGCACTCGTTTAATTTCACAGGTTTCCTAAAGCATAAATAACAATGGCCCATTATAAAGGAGCAGCTAGCGAAGCGGGGAGAGCCATGCAACTTATGAAAAAACGAGAACAACAAATGCAAGACATTGAGATTCGTAAGAAGAAGATTGAGGAAGATCTAAAGTTAAACAATATTGAAAATAAATTTGCGACTCATTATGATGCAGTGGAGCAACAACTTAAGGTTTGTTTAATTTTCTCACAAAGTAAAGTGGAACTCTATACCTACCTTTAGAGCTCAACAATCGGTTTGGTTACACTCGATGAAATGAAAGCGAAGCAAGAAAACATTGTGAAAGAAAGAGAGAAAAAGTTGGCACAGAAGCAAGCGGAAAAAGAACGAGAGCGACAAAAGCAGTTGGAGGCAAAACAGGCGGAAAAAAATAAGCAAAAACGGCAGGTGGATTCTCTATTTTGTCCCTGCGCTCTTATTTTTTACAATGTACTTTTTAGATTCAAGCATTATCGTTTACCCTAAACGATGAGGAGGAATGCGAGGAGGAACCAAAAGAAAAAAAACCATGGAGAACAGAATATGATGAAAATGATGTAAATGTGAAATTATCGAAGAAGATTAAAAAAGATCCTAACGTAGACACTAGTTTCTTACCTGATCGCGAAAGGGAGGAGGAGGAAAATAGGTTGCGCGAGGAGCTGAGACAGGAGTGGGCTGCACAACAGCAAGAGCTCAAGGAGGAGGAAATTGATATTACTTTTAGTTATTGGGATGGTTCTGGTCATAGAAGGACAGTTCGGATGAAGAAAGGTGTGTATGTTCTCTTTTTTACTTTTTTTATAGAGAACCTAAATTGAATAAAAAAGAAACCATTCTTATTCTGTAATTTAATTTCGTTCTTACGATTAAATGTTTTTTTAAGTTAGAGGGTAAGTTAATGCTATAAACTCATACCTTTTCTTGTATTTAGGGTGTTTTTCAATTGATTTTTATCATTCATTCTGTTAGAAATGGAGAAATGGGCTCTTTTTTTTTTTAAGGAAAATTGATTTGCAGGTGTAAAATTGGTAACATTAAGTAAAAAAAATCATGGGAATCATTTTTGACTCACCTTGTACAATTGAACCATACTCCAAAATTGTATCCTTGTAGAGTTACATTCTCTGAAATGTTAAAAACCGTCAAGACACAAAAAAAAACATAAAAATCACTTTCGCATTGTCCCTTTTTGAGCTCTCGAAGACGGCATTAAGAGATTTTCAATATATTTCGTTTTGGAGAAATCATCATCAACCTTATTTTTTTATATGGCCCGTAAAAAAATCTACTGTGTCCTATTTTGGTTGAGACTGCAGTGTATCTTAGCTGCATTGGGTTTTCTCTACCCTGTGCCACTTTTTGGTGAACCGCTTAATACTACAAACAGAATCAATCTAGTTACGTTTGTTTCTTAGATATAGGGTGAAAACAAAAGGTTTGACTACAGTTTGATCTTACACCATAGGCCGAGTGGGATGTTATCATATCTTGCTACCCATGTAAGATAGAAAAAAGGTAAAAATTGTTGCTTTTAGACATTTTTACTTAGACTCCAGTGACGTAGTAAAAAATTTTTTGGACCACCGTTTCTGAGATTTGACACAATGTTGGTGTTTTTAAATGCAGCACCTTATATATCCTAACGTCAATTATTTGAATTCGTTTTCCAGATTACATTGATGTATCACAACCTATATTTTTTTTATATAATATATATTATATCATTTTTTCAAAATTTTGAAATGACATGTTTCTACGATCAGCCATTTATATTGATTGGTATAGGCTGCCATGAAAAAAATAAAAATAAACAAAATCTCAATGAATCCATAGCCTACTAGTATTTAAAAACCGTAAAAAACGTTTTAATTTTTCGTTCATGGCTAAAATTAAAAAAAATATAACTTGTGATATAGCAATGTAATCAGGAAAAGAGTGCCAAAAAATTGACGCTAAAATATACAAGGTGTTGCATTTAAAAAATACCAACATTGAGTCAAATCTCAGAAACGATGGTCAATTTTGACTACGCCACTGGATTCTACGTAAAAATATCTAAAAGAAACAGTTTTTACTTTACCTTTTTTCAGTTTTTTCTATCTTATATGGGTAGCAAGATATTATGTATGATAACTCCATTTTTTTGCCTTTCACACTGGATGTGGTTATACTAAAAATAGAGTCCACACACCTCATACTAATCAGTAATCACTTTGTTTTAGGAAATTCGGTATACAACTTCTTGCAAAAAGTTTTGGAATTACTTCGTAAGGAATTCTCAGAGTTGAAAACAGTAATGGCCGATCAACTAATGTATGTGAAAGAAGACCTGATACTACCTCACCATTACACATTTTATGATTTTATAGTCACAAAAGTAATACATTAGCATCTACAACGAAAATTATAATAACGCTTTTACAGGCACGAGGAAAAAGTGGGCCTCTGTTTCAGTTTGATGTGCACGATGATGTACGTATGGTAAGCGATGCGTCGATCGAAAAAGAAGACTCGCACGCCGGAAAGGTTCTAATGCGTAGCTGGTATGAACGAAATAAACACATATTTCCGGCAAGTCGTTGGGAACCGTACGATCCCACCAAAAGCTACGATAAATATACTGTATCGGATAAAACAAAAAAGCCGCCATAACATATAGAGTAATAACGAAGTAGTTCAATTTTGATGCACAATTTTAATTGTTTACATTTGTATATAATTGAATAAGAATAAACTACGTTGTTCGCAGAAATTAAATTTCCTTCTCCGGCAAGTTTGAATCATTGGCAGGAAACACAGTTCCTTTATTTTCTTTCCAAAATTCGTGTATGTGCGGTAAACGTGCTGCTAGATCTGTAGTCCAATGATGAATTCGACAACGCACATCAACTGTTTCGAAGTTGTTAATCTAAAGAAAACATTACGATTCAATTGTCTGTAGGTGTGGTACTTACTGTAACTGTGATAAAGAATTCTTTATCTTCCATTTCAATATTTGGACCTGTGATAGGTTGAGCAGGAAGGGTAACTGCATCTTCGGGAATAACATATCCACATTTTCTAAAAGAAGCTTTAATATGCCAAGGTTGGATCGTCCAAGGATTATCCATATTCATAACTACTGATAACACTTTCTTCGACAATTCTTTTGCAGTCTAAAACAGTTGGTAATTAAAAATTAAATTGTTCAAATCATACATACCTCTACTGCGTAAGGTGAACTGTGTACAACTTCATCCTCGCTCCTTTTATAGTCCTTATAAAGTTCCAAATTTTCGGGTGTAGCATACACAGCAAGGCCGGGTAAAAGCAATCTATCGTAAGCAAATTTATTCTTGACGGAAACTTTGTCACCCGGATTTCCTAAGTTGTCAACATAGTGGGTCAGAATTAAATCCAAGTTTGGTTTCTTTTCCCTATCTGTATCTTTTACCAATTCGTAAATGTAATGTTTGGCTCTTAAACGCTTCAAGGGCATGCCCTTTTTATGTAAAGGAGCCGCATGTTTCCGTTTCAGAATGAAGGTGGTCTAAAATAGTGGATGTGTTAAATAAATGTATGCTTCCTTATAATGAAGTTACTCGTAGCTGTTGATGGAGAACTGCTTCGGGTTTTAATAATAAATTTCCTAATTGATGAACTAACGAAGTAATTTTGTTGCAAGTTTTTAACATCGTTTTATTTTAGTTTAAAATTTCCAGTAAATTAACCTCACTTTATGGCTGTGATTAGCATTCGTTTATAGGGAACATAACGGAATATTGGCCATGGTGGTTCACATTACGTCGACTTCTTCATTTGTTTGTTCATTTTTGTACCTTCATAAATCATAATATGATACAAACTAGTATCATACCTTCATAATACAATGATTAGGAGGTATACATAGTGTGTATAATCAACGGTTTGTTTAAGGCGTTTATACTACATACATTTCACAACAACCTCTAGCATTTCGACGTACCTATACTTTTGAGATCGTTCCATGATTTTCCAGAACAATAGAAAACTTTCCAGCCAGAGCCACATTTCATTTAATATTCGAACAATTTTGACAAATCAAGAGATATGACAGTAATAGTATATTAAGTATGGAGAACGGTAAGGGATTTTTACCGTTCGAAGACAATTGTTTGGAGGAGGAGCGGAGCGACGACTCCAATTATTGTCTGAGAACGGTAACCCTTAACGTTCGACGTGCTTATAACATTTTTTGCGCGATCGAAATTAAAATTATTCAACCAATATAAATATGCACTAAGAAATTAACGAGCAGAATAAATCGAAATGATCGAAGTGGTATGGTGTACATCACTAGGTAACCAGTTTATTTGTCAAAATTGAAATTAATAATTTCATAAAATTGTGCATGTGTCTGATGTAGTTTGCTAGCTTTGCACTTCCTTTATGACTTTATGAGCCAGGTATTTGCCGGTGGCCGAATGGTATGTCGAAGATTAAATTAAAGATTAAATGTAATGTAAGACTGTTAACATTGAACTGATTGTTTTTAAAAAGGCGTCGGTAAGTATTTTTTTGCACGATCGGTTATAGTCGGCTACTTACTAATTCATTTTCAAGGCGGTAAGGTGCACTTACCAACCTAGGGCGGTAAGTGTATCATAGCAACGTGCTTAGCAACCAAGTGACAGTTACAGTAACATGCGACAAGTAGGATATGTGTCAAAAATCAAATTATTGTTTATTAATGTGGAAGTTAAATGTACAATTTGCAAGTTACAAAAATTAGTTCGGGAATTAGACAGGCAATTGGAAAACACGGTGTTTACAGATTCTTCACACTCAGCAGTCGATAGAGGATTTGAATTAGTACGGTATGAAATAGCAGGTTCTGTTGATGGCAACGAAGATGATGAAGGGTTCCCTGGAGTTCCACATAAAATCTTCTGAGCGGTTTCAATCTTGTTAGTTAATGACTCACCAAGTACGTGTCATCGGGTGCTTCCGTAAGAAATTTATGGAAATCTGCTTTAGAAAAAACGCTAGATTTTTTTGGCTGATACCCAACGTTCTTTCTTTTCAAAAATGCTATCAGCGTACTGTATTTAGAAATATCAACACACCTTCTTAGAATAATCATATTTTCAACATGGAATAATCACACCATAAGCCATTTCAATCCTTCACTACGTTGAACAAAATATGCTAACACAATTTTTTCACTTATGTCAGTTTGACATTTACTTTCACACCATTTAAGGAAAGAATCATATGCGGCTTCATATCTACTTTTAAATTTTTCGGGAATGATCGATGCGCAGCCAATACTCCATGCATCTTCTATTTCGAAATCTTCTGAATCATTTAGGTATGTTCACTTAGTCTCAACCAAACCACGTTTCGCGCACGTGTTGTTTTGTTTTCAAAAACAGAAACGTAACTGTAGCAACCCACAAAAAATTACTGAACCCATTGTGATGCTACCACATTGATACATTCGAATTTAGTTTATATCAATTATAAATTGATCGTGCAAAAAATAGCGTAAGCACCACGGTCAGTAGGTGCTTAACCGATTTCGGATAATATTGCAAACCTCGAGCTGCGCTCTCGGTTTGCAATTATTATCCTCAACCAGTAAAGTACACCTACTGACCTTAATACTTAATATACTATTGCTGTTCTGTTTTCAGATCGGTAAGTAATTTTGGCGTCGTCGTAATCATAGCAACTGGTAAATTCCACTTACTGTCATGGAAACACACATGGTAAATAGTCAGAAAAGACCGATCGCGCAAAAAAGCATTGAAGTATACATTCAATGATAATCATAATGCAACGTTGTTACTTGTTACAGTGGCACCACGCTCAGAAAGTCCCTGACAGGGCGTGTCCGAGGGCGCTAGAAATTTAGACCGTACATTCTGATGCAATGAGCCTTGAAAAAGACGAGTGTGTATAAAACTGGAAACAAAAAACGTAAAATAAAGCAAATACAGGAAGCAAAGTGTAAATTAAAATAACGTGAAACGTCAACTGTCAAAATCGGAATAATAAATAATTATGGCGCGGAATGTATGGCGTCGTTTTGCAGACTTTCTATTGGCCAGCCTGAATTATTTCAAAATTAGTTCGCATATTTTCCGGGGCTTTTCTGAGCATGGTGGCACTTGTATATTATGCGGCTCGTCCATTCAAGCAGAAAAGACACGGTGTCGCATCCAAGTCATGATTGTGCAGTACTCGACCGGAATCGCTAGATTCAGCAAAAGTCGCGGATACTGTCGATGCGGTATTTACTTACTTAACAGTGCGCAAGGGTTTTGTTAATTCGAATCTAAAATTCTCGCACATCGGCCGTGTAGTATTACAAGCATGTTACGACGCATATTATTCAGAAAGTTTACGTGAATCCGGGTGAATCATGGTTATTTGTGGCGTTATGGGGTTATCATTTCCAATGTCTCTGATGGTTGCATGGATTGCGAAATCTGTGAATTTTTTCTAATAATATACCTACTTAACAAATGTTCGAATAAGAAACCCGTGAAGAATAAACTACATTGAAAAGCATTAGGAAAAATTAAAAGGCATTGAAAAACGTTCAAAACACAACGAATAATTAATAATATTCAATTTGAGGCTTTACCCTTCTAGATACGTTTCAGAGCATATCACCTCGCAAGAACTTTTCATCTAACCCCAGAGCTTTTCAGGTCCATGTCAGAGTTTTGTAGATCCTGTCCAGAACTTCCAGGACCGCCCTCGAATTTTCCAAGTAATAAAATCCTTTTAGCATGTTAATAACCTTTTTATGACTTTCGAGCTAGCTTTTGAGAATGTTTTTAGGTTTAAATAGCTATGGAAAATGCACAAAAAATCTTCGACACGTCTTGAAAAAGCTCAATGATTATGTTAATAGTATATTAAGATACAAGTGTATAATGAAGTCTTTAAAGCAACCGCAACGAGTTTAATGGCACGACGCGTAGCGGAGTCCCTTTAAACGTTGCAAGTGCTTTAAAGACCAATTATACACGTGTTTCTTATAGTATCTTTTTATTATACCTGCAATATAATTTAAAAATAAGGGAAATACAATGAAATCATATTGACGTTATACGAGTATGTACTCGAATACTCATCTAATTAAGCGGGCGTGTATTCGTAAACAATGCTGCGATTAAAAAGTAGAACAGATTTGGCAGCATACCCTAAATTACACGCGTTTGTGAAAGCTTAAAAAAAAATGGGTACAAGCCAAAGAAATGTGCATTTACAAAAAGCGACCTAACAACATTTTTTTTCAGCCCTGATGATAGTTTCAAAAGTCATACTTGAAGTATCATTACTTAGTAATCTTCTGTACGCTTTTTAAGGCAAAAGAAAAATGTAATCGCTCAAAATAGTTTATATTTGTTACTCAGTTGTAAACGTTGATTAACAAGACAAAACGCAAACGGGTAAACGTCATGTTTAAACGCTACTGACTTATAAAACTGACAGCTGACCTGTAAAAATTTTACAAGTTAGTAATCTAGTAATTTCATTGGCCAGAATTAATAATAAGTTTCTGTTACATGGATAATATGATATTTTAGACATTTCTTGGAGATCAATTGAAGAACTAATTATTTACGTTTACTATTGTTTACAAATGAGTAACAAATAAAATATTGTACATTATACGCCAGGTAATAGTTTTTACTGGCTCTAGGAGATGACAGGCTCGCCTGACGGCTCGCCAGTCAACTTCTCCTATCGCCAGTAAAAACTCACTTACCTGGCTAATAATGTAAAATACTATTACATTGAACTCATTTCTATGGGCGCCTCAAGGTTTTCGGGACCCTTTTCAGAGCATTTAATCCCTTAGACAGTTTTCCAGATCATTTTAGACAGTCATTTTCCAAACTCCAATACAGGGTGTCCCACCACGCAGGCCGCTCTGTTCGGTTATGATTTAGAAAAGGTAGCTTTGGAATATTTTAAAAATCTGCAGTGCACTAATGTCGATAAGAATAATTGGTCTAAAATAGTTTCAACCTGTGGCACTTCTGGTAATACCTGAATTTGTTGCTATCATTTTCTTGTACCCTGATCTCTTACGAAATCATTCGTTTATAGTTATTTAGTAGATGGGTCAGCGTCAGACCAATTTTGAGGTTCACTTGCCCTGTTCCCACTTATATTTAGTGTAGTACCATAAGGGAATTGTGTGAGATACGTTTTCTTGATTTCGTCAAGAATCATTTCCATGATATGTAGTTTAGGTATCTCGTTGAAAGTGATTCTTTATTTTTTACAATAAATTCAATATGTACGATCACCGACAAAAGTAATGATAATCGGGGACTTACTGCCACTTAGGCAACCAACCATACACTATCTAAATAGCAACATCGAATTGTAAGTTTTCTGGAGGGGATTCATGTGGGATGAGGCGCACAGCGTCGCGCATTGTCGGCTTTGCTTGTCTGCTGTCTGCCTTGATATAAACGCTACAGCAGGTATAATTGCAAAAATGGGTAAAACCGGTTTTTATGCATTATATTCAGGACAAATTTAAGAGACAAATTCACATTAGTATCTGCGATCTCGATTTTCTCTCCATTAAAACAAAAACTGGCTTTTAAGGTTAATTTTGCAAGACTATTTCTTTTTTTTAAGCAAATACTCTCTTAAGTTTTAGGGCTCCAGTTTTGTTGCACACTGACAAATAATCAATTGCATCTTGTAGAAAATTGGATTCAATACATATTCATTGCTATTCATTTTTTCCCTTAGAGTAATAGTTAACGAAATATTTGAAGTCAAATGCGAAAAAAACGACATATTCATTTTCGAATTTTTCGTTCTTCACTTCGAGTTTGGCTGAAAATAACACATTTTTTTTAAAAACACAACATTCTGTTTATTATGTAGAATCATAGAGTAATACTCTATGGTAGAATCATTGAATAAAAGATTTATTATTCAATGGTAGAATACACAATAAAAAAACCGTTCAAAAATACTAGCAACAATATCGAGAGAAAAACTAAATTGAAGATACCAATGCGTAATGTATTAATGTCTCTTAAATTTGTCCAGAGTATAAACATTGAATAAAAATTTATTCAATAGTATAATGCATAAAATCCGGTTTTGCCAATTCTTGTAATTATACTTATATATTTTATACCTGCTGATCGTACATCAAACTTTCTGCATTTCTTCCCTTCTTCTTTCCTGTCTCCTCGTTTCCGCATCTAAACCAGGTTATTAGTTTGATGTTATTCCTTCCCTCTTTTAGATATTTCGGCACCCCCTATATTATCAACTCCTTTTATGATTTTACCTTTTGTTTCCTCAGTTTCTCTCTCTGTTACTGCTTACATATTTTTGTCCCTTTTTGCAAGTTGTCCTATTCTTTTCCCCATTGCTTTTCTTGTTTTTGTACTACATCGATTTATCATATTTGCATTGATTATGTCTCGTATATTTAGTTTTTATGAATTTGTTTAACTGTATTTGATTCTTTTGCATTTTGTTGTTATTGTTGATTTATTTCATGTATTTGTTGGGGCTATGCCAAGATTTTTGTCCCGTAGAAGGTTTCCCTGGTATTTCCTTGTTGTGTGCGCAATGTCTTTTCTTACGCACAACATTCTGCATTTTATTCAATTCCCTTCGCGTTTATGTCTCACGTCCCAACAAATAAAAGAACCGATTAACTTTATCCAACATATGATCATCTTTATTGAACTAATACTCTTTGTATAAAAAAGTCGTACTGTATTACCTTTGTCTCTCGAGTGTTCAATGATTATTTTTAAGGTTTTCACTCTTTAACGATAAGTTGGCTCTCTAAGATCACAAATCTGAATGTGATCCTTGTAGCATTATTTTATCCATAAATTAGAATTACATTCCATGTTTCATATCCCTTTCTAAGGAAATTCTTTAAACAAAATTCCCCTGATGTGATGGTTTTGTCCGTCTGTCTGTTCCTCTTTTAACTCGAGAACGAAAAAAAATAGCGATATCAAACCTTCGCCAATCGATTTCTACGAGTTCAAGCACGAATGCTATTGAATATGAGCCGGATCACAAGTCTGGTTTCCGAATACGAGCTGAACGAAAAAAAATTCCCCTAAGGTACTGAAAATCGTATGCGATTCTTCGTATCTTGTTATTATTTGTTATTGTTATTATTATTCCTCTTTGTTAAAAACTTGTGACGTTGTTATGTTGGCAATAAGGAATATTGGGACAAGAGACTTGTAAGAATGTAATTGCAGAATGTATGTACGTTTTATCTGTTAATGTTTGTAATATACAAAATCGTCCTGAATAGCGTTTATCATTGCTCTCGATATTTATCCATACCCATCCATTTACCACAGACGTGTTACGTTATTGTGTAACATCGCTCATATTCGTAATGTGACAATTGTCTATGATTAACACAGCGTTTAGAACAAACTTGTTATGTAAGAAAGTCAATTCGTCAAAATCATACATACCCTGATACATACACATTCAAACCTGACGTTTATATCTTTTTACTTCCACACCAAAACCTTGATCCGGAAGGACTACAATCTGTAATCGGATTTGCAGTACAAATAGGCAAACGCGAAGTGCCCGAAGTGAATTTAAAGTTATTTTAAAGAGAATACAGGGAACC